TTTATTATTTATATTTAGAGAATAGTCAGATACATGTAAAGTAGGTAAATGTGATATTTATTACCAATAAACCCAAACTCATTAAAGAATCTACGTACTCAATATAACAAAAACTTTAACTATTAATTTACGGTTGACAAACCCAAACACTAAAAACCGACAAAATTTAAATATTAAACCTAAAAAGCTTGTACCTATTCAAATTAAACAGTTAGAAATAAAAGTTATTTAAATCTAGACGAATGTCCTCCTATGAGGTCAGGCCCCAACTCGGGTCAAAAAGAACCTTACCCCGGATCAAACGGGTCAGATAAATATATAATAGATCCGAAATTTACCGATGTTAGAAAATAAAAAAACAAATTGCGAGAAATTTTTTGACGAAAAGTTCCGGCATATATATGGCTTCTATTGACCCGAGTCATAACCCGGGTCGGAAAAGCTTTTGTCGGGTTTGACCCAGGTCTCGAATTTTCGACCCGTCTAATGCTGATTTACACAAAATTGTTTATATGTAAAAATAGGCTGTTTCTATTGATAACACCTCATATGGATAATAGGCAAGATCGCCTAAGTATAAAAAAAAAAAAAAAAGAAAATTCTATTTAGTTTATAAAATATACGTACTATTTTTTGTTAATTTTGAAATCCTATTACAAAAAACAGAGACCTAATAATTATCTGATTCAAAATAATATACATGTAGAAACATTTTATGACTTTAAAGAACTGCTTCAAAAAATAAAACTACAAAGTATATTTATTGGCTATGTCTTAAAATTCTAATACTATGTAAAACAAATCGAATTTAAACTATTTTTTCAAATATTAAAAACAAATAAAAAAATTGTAACATCATCGAATCCTGAACCACTTCGTTCGCACAAAATTCTCTTTTATTAATGAATGCATGATATTTGTTATCAATTAAATACTAACACTTTATTAAATCATCATAAAACTTTAGTGATGGTATTTGCAGCAATATAATTTGATCTTTATGCTCTGGTAAAAAGCTAGGGATTCTGGGTCTTTTACTTTTCGAATGTATCGAATTTTATTTTGTTTAATAATTGAATGAAAAACAAATTCTTGACATTAATATTGACCAATCAAATGTTAAAAAATGTTTACATGATTTGTTTCAATTTCATAAGATATATAAACTTTTAAATCGCTAAAACTTTTCACTCAGACGATAATTTAAAAAACTGTCCGGTAACTTTGTTCTTTGTGATAAGAAGTTAGATCACGTGATTGGCGGTTATAAATTTCCGGCACCATATTTTCAAACCTAATTCGTACGTATATATTCGAATTAGGGTCGTTAATCCAGTGTGAGTTGGGAGTATAACAATAACTATTCCGGATTATTATAAAAGTCAAATTGAGCTGTTTATACTATAGTTACTATGACTATCGCCATATACTACTCCGGATTAGAAATATACACTATATGGTATATAAAGTTATTCAATTACTGCGATAGTTTAATCTGGAGTAGTAACTCCAGTGCAAACTATAGAGTTTAATTTATAGAATTGTTTTAAGCAGAGCATACACCATTGGGGTATTTCATATACTAATTAATCAAATCTATGTAAGGAGTTATAGCAAAAATTGATACGTAGTACAGATTTTTTTCTGAGGATTGCAGCAAATGTTTATTATAATGTTGTAAAAAAAAAAGTTATAGTTTTAAATTTTTATTAACATAAGTTAATTCAGAATAAAATTGATTTTTTTGTTAAATGTTTATTATTAAATTTAAAACTATAACTTTTTTTTATTATAATAATCATTTACCGTAAAAATTTCGGAAAAAAATTATTAAAATACTAATATTTTAATAGTAATCTATCGATTTTGCTGATCCACGCATAAAATCTGTACTATCTCCTTACATAGATTTGATTAATTAGTATATGAAATACCCTAATACACCATACCACACTGGATCACTCCATTAATAACTCCGTAATGTTTTATTACGTATTAATGATGTAATATCAAATCGATCAGATCATCGAATCATATGAATCATATTACAATTATGAATTTTTATGGAAACAATGGTGATGAATCTGATTTAAATCCAGAAATCCGTTAACTTTTTAATTAAAAATTTTTTTAACATGGATACTAATAAAGAATTTAGAAAAAGTCTTTATGACATTATTATTAAACAAATATCTCGAAATAATGAACCTGAAAATGCATACAAATGTTTTAATACTTTAAACAAAGTTGTAGGAAATATAATCGAATCCCCACACGATAAAACAAAACGCCAACTTAAAAAAACTAATAAGATAGTAAAATCTACCATATGTGAAATCGATGGTGGTGCTGATTTTCTCATTAAAATTGGCTTCAGAGTGAAAGTTATCGAATTTCAAAAATTTTATATCCTTGAAATTCCAAATGATAAGGATTCCTCTCAGTTGAGGAAACAATTGGAAATTTTGGAAATTGCTCAAGAATTATTAAAAGATATTTTACAAAAACTCAAAGAACGTAGTGAGTTAAAAGAGCGTGCAAAATTAATGGAAAAGATAGCAGAAGAATCTCGAAAAGAAATCGCATTGAAAAATATTGAAGAAGATAGAAAAAGACGCGCAGAAGAACAAGAAAGACTCAAACGACACAGGAAATTTCAAATGGAGCGAGAATTGAAAGAGAAAGAAGAGCAGCAGAAAAGGAGAGAAACCGAAGAACAATTACAACAATTAATGTTAGAACGACCTTCCCTGAAACAACCTTCCCAAGAGCAGTCTTTCTATCGTTCCTACCACCCATCTGATTTTAATCAAAGATTTGAAGATCAAGGAGATTAAGATTTTATAATTGATTTTTTCTTCTATATCTGATATTTTATTCAGTTAATATATACATAGTATTCACCATAAAAACAGTATATTTTGATATAAGTCGGCCGACGTTAAATCTATCAATCTAATATATTTGTATAGCGATGTTATACTGTATATCTTTGTATATGCCCTAAAATATATTTATCGATACCTCATTATAATTACATAGTTATTTTACGTACTTTTTCCTTGCAAATCATTATTAATAATACTTTCAATTTCGCGTCGTTAATACTTTTTAATTGCTTCAATTTCGCGTCGTTAATACTTGATCTTAAAAATCTTGTTTGTTTAAAACTGATAACGATAATAAATGTTTTACAGCTGTTTTCATAAATTCTGGGACATCAGGCAAAAAATGGTCCGAACAAATATTGCCGGTTCGATAAGTTT